CGCCTTGGCACCCAGCATGGCGGCGCCGTGGACGACGGCAGCGTTGACGTAGCGGGGCACCAGGACGGGCATGTCGCAGATGGTGGCCATCAGGTCCATGAGCAGCGGGTTTTGGCACTGGCTGCCGGACATGAAGATGGTGTTGAGGAGGTGACCGGCGTTGTTCATCGACTCGACGATCTGGCGCGTCTGCATGGCAATGAACTCCATCGTCGCGTAGTACCATAGCGCGAGGTTGTCTGTCGTCTTGTCGCTGCTCAGGCCAATGACGGCACCCTTCATGTTGGGGTCGGCGACGGGTGATCGGTTGCCCCAGAGGTCGCCATAGAAGAAGAAGTGGCGGCCCAAGTAGGAGATGGAAGGAGCGTTCGCCTTCTCTCGCATGTACTCCAGATGAGCGTTCAGGAAGTCGTAAATGTTCTTCGACTCGGCCGTGGCAAGCGCCTGGGTCTCGACGTATGCAGGATGGATATCGAGAATGTGACGGAGGAGCTCGCCGGTGGCGGACTGACCACCTTCAGCCATCCAGAACTCGGGCAGAAGCACATCGCGGTAAGGACCCCAAACGCCGGGCACGAACACAGCTTCTCGGGACATGGCCAAGTGGCACGTGGATGTTCCGGCAACCGCCGCCAACCTATGGAAAGCCTGGGACAGGTCGTTTTTGGGCGCCTCCTCATCGAGATGATCAGGAGGGAGCTCGACCTTGGCTCCGACGGTGCCGATCCATCCAGCGTAGGCGTCAATGACACCACCACCGACGGCGATGCCCTCGGGAAGTCCCAGCTCCCGGGCAGCCTTCTTGCTGAGAGTTCCGACGAGCTCGCCGGCACTCTGGTACTTTCCGTTCTGCGATTCTTGTTAGCCAAATGTCCTCGATCCACGGAAACCGGCGCTCACCACCCCGTTGACGCCGCCCATGCGCTTGAAGTTATCGTTGCAAAGGTCTTCCAGACCGATTGTTGTAAGGAAATCCTCCTGCCAACCCTTGACGCTGCCGTCGACACCAACAGGGACGTAGCCCTGCTTGCAAACGGTGCTGCAGAAGCTCCGCGTCTCGTTGCCGGTGGCCATGTGCGTGAGGGCATCCGCGAGGTCGTAGAACTTGCAGCGGTCGAAGAGCTCCTTGGGCATGTGGTTCTTGAGCCAGAGCACCTTGGGTATCTCCATCTCGATGCTCATGGTGCCGCCGACGTACTTGAGCAGGTTGTGGCCAGTGGCGTTGATCTTCTCCGTCTCCTCGACGGGACGGTGGTCCAGCCAAAGGATGACGTTGCGGTCATTGCCATCGGCGTTATCGAAGTCGGGGCCTGTGACAGGGACGGGAACATCGGTGTCGTCTCTGAAGACGGCGAGGGAGCAGGTGGCATCGAAGCCGATTCCCTTGATCTTAGCAGGGTCAACCGAGGAGTCGATGAGGACCTGCTTGACGCAGAGGCAAATGCATGCCCAGATGTCTGTGGTCGATTGTTCCTGCCGATAGTCAGCCTACTTTGTCTCGGTGGCGGAGGCTGTCGTAAAGCTAGAGAATACAATGGAAGGATCGGGAGACTCACGTAGAATCCGGTCTCTGGCTGCCAGAGCTTGATGGGCTCGGTGGCCAGGGCCTTGATATCGCCGGTCTCATCAATGATGCAAGCTCTGGCGGAGCCAGTGCCCACATCAATTCCGATGTAATGATCCTATCGATTGCTTCAGTCAGTGGCCCGCACTTGTGTCGAGGGAGAGATGAGCTGGTGAGCTCTCGGTTGGCAACTCACGAGAAGTTGGGGAGGCCTGGAGGGAGGATTGTTAGCCATTTTGAAGCTGTTTTGTTAAGCCAATGTGAAGCCAAAGGATCAGGATACTGTTGTGAGCGCGATCAATAGCTTCACAAAGGGAAAAGAAAACACCATAGAGTAAAACTTACTCCATCTGTGGCAGATATTCACCCATTCACGCGGTATTGTATGACGTAGTGCAAAGTTGGGAAGGTGAGACTTTGGGGTCTCGTTTGTTTTTGTCGACTGGTGAAAGATTTCAGCACGAGTGGGAAGGCAGTAGAAGTTTTGGGTCCTCCAGGTCCATTGATCAATGGCACCCAGAGAAAAAAAAGAGGAGTGAAGAGGAGCTTTCTTAAGAAGGGAGCTGGACCTCAACACGAGCTGGAGGGGCGGCTGGAGACAAGACAGACACACACACACACACACCCACCCCACGACCGTCAACGTCTGGACCACCACCTTCAACACTTCTACGACGGGGATTGAGCTTGGTGCTCGCGCCGCCTGCCCAGGACCTGGACCCCTTTTGCCCCTCCACTGGGTGGGGTAAGTAGGTAAGGTACAAGAGCTACCCTGCGCATTTGTAGGCCATCGCTTGTACACGATGCGGAAGAGGGCCAAGCTAGAATCCAGCAGACTGGCAGAAATCAGAGACTCAAAGTAGCCAAACCACAAAAAAAAAATGATGGCAAGCTCGGGATGGATCCGCGGCCTGTGTCAGCTGCAATTCCAAGCGCTATCGGGGGCCGGCCAGGCTCACCCTCGTACCGGGGGCAACACCGATGGGATGGAGGGGTGTGGAGGGGGGCATCCACCTTCGATATGCGGGCACCCACCCAGCCCGCAGCACCGACCACAAGCCGCGCCGCAAGGGACCTTCGGGGAACCTGAACCTGACCTCCACTGAATTTGGGTGTGTCCAGCCGCCTGTTGGGAGCCAAGCAACCATGGAAGGAGCCCAGTCCATCGCCAGCTCTGCCCGTCGAATCGAATCTGCTGGTCGCTGGACTGCAGCAAGGGGGTTACACCGTGGGATTTCCGGGGCTCGGGGAAGCAGCCACGACGTCTGGGAAGGTCCCTGAATGGCCAGGCCCCCAACCTAATGCTCTAGAACTGGTATGCTCCGGGAGAGCTCATCCATCGCCTCTTCTCTCCCCAGTCGCTCTGGTCTCGCCCCAAATGCCTACCTACCTACACCAAGTCCAGAACAGAGCTCTTTGGGTAACTGGAGGCAAAGTCGAAGGCCATGGAAAGGAAGCATAACCCCGCCAAATGACAGCATTCTCCACATGCTTCCAGAAGGGGTTGCGACGCCATCCATGAACAGGCGGGCTACTTTAATTTTAGCAAGACCTGGAGAAACACTTGGCTAGGTGGTGACGGCTGACGGGAGTTGTGTGTCAACCCAATGCTCGCTCGCTCGCTCGCTCAGAAACGAACTTGGGACCTCCCTCCACAATTATGATGTTGCTTTTGTTTGAATTTCAATGTTATTTCGTCCCGTCTCCGTCACCGCCACCACACCCGTTGGGCCCCAATGCTACCTAGCATCTACACCACTGACTACCTTACATCCTAAATACACTGCCCATGTAACAGCTATTCAGCATTTTGACATTCGAATCAGGCTAATTCAACCCAATGGGTTTCAACGTAGAACATCGTGCTTGTAGGAGTCTTTGTGGTATAATCAAACAACACAATGGCTCGCTAGATAGCAAAGCAACTTCTTCTATCAATAGACGGTCAGACAGCGGTACTTACTTACACACGGAGATCTGCATACACCAGCAAGAAAACAATGAGGCACCAAGCCCCGAAAGAAGCAAAAAGAAGGCGAGACACAAAAGAGACAAGGGCGCCACGTCGGGAAGCCCAAAAAGGATGGTCCGGCTGCCATCCGCCGCCTCCCGTCCCAAGCCACCAGTGTCTTCGACCTTGCCAGTGTGCTCATGGACTGCCACCGACGTCGTCGTGGAGTGCTGAGCGAGTCCATCCTGCACTATCCCCTTACTATTTCCTTCTCCGTCCTTTCCGCCTCCATGCGACCCAATCGTGGCCCGACGCCTCCAGTTTCTCTCTCTCCCGCTCCCCCTCCAAGCTCACACCAATCTACGAGTGCCTCTTGTGACCGATCTAAACGGAGGTCGGAAACATTGCCAGGAACCAGCCGCAAGAGAGCATCGCAGCAGGCCGCGTTCCAGCCCGCTCCGGCAACATTTCCATGCGCCTACACCATATCGGAGTCGCCCACGCGCTGCAATACAATGAAAAAGGGTTGACATGCAAGGATTCTTACAGATGCGCGCTGCATTCCCTTGCAACCCTCCTCCCAACTAGCGCAGAGTCAAGACTGTGGGGGGTGGGACGTGGGATGCGATGTAACGGCAAAATCCATGATCACAAGAGCTCATGTGGAGAAGCGTCGAGAAATTTCATGGGGCGCGACTGGATTTTGCATGGCTTCGAGATTCCAATAGAAGAGGTTGCTTGTCATCGCCATCACGGTTTCCACGGAATCTTGCATGTTTTCGGCATTTCATTATTTAAGGCCAAGGTGGTATCTGACCCCCCAGAAGCACGATAAACACGAATTGTCACGATACGTGAAAAAAGTGTCTGCCCGCCATGTGAGCATCAAACCCCTGATGCCTGCTGCGCTGTCACCCGTCTGGATTTGCGGTGTGTCTTGGTTGCTTTCTCAGCCCTCGTCTCTTCCCCCTTGCGCATCGCCTATAAACATTATCTCCGCTCATGTAGCCATAGCCTAGCCTTGCCGAGCATGTAGGTTGACCGCGATACCAAGGAGCTCGTCCGCCGATCCCCTGCCCGGCAACTCCGACGAACGGAGGAGCTTCGAGAATCACCACCACAAATGCGTCTTCCCACCTGGCGCCCGCACCTCTGCTGTTCCGTATGTGCCGATCCCCCCACGATCGACTCTCATCTCTTCCACCCGGGCCTTAGTCCATGGATCCCGTTTTTTTCTTATTCTCTATTGTCGGATGCGTTGGCGTTTTTGCTTGTGTGACAAGTGTTTCGATTCGCCCACACCGCCTTCCAATCAATTGTTTCGTAAATGTCAACGACTCGCTTGGCAACGCGTAATGCCACCAGAAAGTGTGCCTCGTGTGTTCAAGATGCAGATATGGTGTCTTCTAGACCTCCCCTGAATGATCTGACGCCGCCCCACGAGGCCCTGTCAATATGCCGCTTCCCACTGGTTCGATGCAATCGCTAGTAATCGAGCTCTGTTTCCCATTTTCTGTTCTCTGCCTTCACTCTTCCTCGATGAGATTTGTGGTCACCCTGATATGGATGTCAGCGAATGTTGGCCGATAAACCTTCTTGGTTGCGCACTGCTTACCTCCGCCTTCCGCTTGCGGTGCACCGGCTCGGGGGTACTCCTCGAGTATGTCGGGGTGCTCCCCCGGGCTTGTGTTGCCTCCGCATGGCAGCTGTAATGGTATGCCCGGTTGCCGACTAGAATTGTATCCAGCCAAACCCATTCCTGCGCCGTATCCAGCCACTTGTTCTCGAACTTTTCTTGACATATAGGGCAGACACTGTTGATTCTGCTTGACGCATCTGGCACAGGGATGTACTTGGGCTTGGCTTCCTTCTTCTCCTTGCCGGGGCTAGACGAGGCATCGCCCGTAGATGGCGGGTGGTCGACATCGATTGCCTCTCGTGACTTGAGCCAGTCCTGTGAAATATTAGATACTGCCACACCTCAAACCAGACAAGAGACTTACGTTATTGTCGACATACCAGCTGCGATGCTGGCCTCGCTTCTCTGCTTCTGCAAGCCGTTGGTGAGCTTTGAAATGCCAATCCATGTGCGCCATCTTCTTCTTTCTGCCCTCCTCATCTGTCTTGAATCGTCTGCCGCATTGCGTGCATTGCGGTCCTAATTGCTCATAGATTGACGCAATCAAATGCGGCTGGTATCTACAGAAGAGTGAGTCCAGTGACATCCATAGTCACGAGGAAAACTTACTGCTGTTTGAGCGCTGTGGCGTCTAGCTGGTTCGCGTTCATATTCGGCATGGGAGGTCGCGGCATGCCAGCTAGCAAGCTGGCAATGTTCGGAGGCAACAAGCCGGGCGGCAGCATAGGCATTCCCGGAGGGGGAACTGGCGCGGGAGCCGGCGGTGCTGGTGTTGGCGTAGCGCTTGGCACACCTCCAGACAGCAATCCCGCTTGCCGCAATCCTGCAAGCAAGGCCATAGGGTCCGCAGCGGGCGGAGCGCTACTTTGCCGTTGAGGCTCGGCTCTTTGTGGTGGAGGAGATCGGATCGCCATGTTCGGGAACGGCGGAGGCGGCGTTGGTGTTGGTGCTTGTGGGGTAGCTGACTGACGGGTCAACAGAGCAGCAAGAGCCCCTTGGCCGAAGAGAGCGTCAAGTGTCACGCCTCCTGACTGCTGAGGAGGTCCGGACGGCGGTACTACAGGTGCCGCAGCAGCGGGCGGTGGATGATGGGGGACAGGCGTAGCAGCAGGGGCATGACCCTGGGCCGCGAACGGCCTCACTTTTACAGCAAGATCGGCTACTTGATTCTTTATAAGGACCAATTGGTCCTGAGGCAAGTTCTGATGCTGGAGCAAGTTCTGCACATCCAACAATGCCTTAAGTCTTTGATGAACACTATGATCATGTGGGTTCTGCGCAAACTCCAACTTCGACGCATCGATCAACTTCTGGATATCTTGACCCAGAGAATCTTTGCTTATCACACCAGTCTGAGCACCCGCGAGCCCAGCGTGTGGCATTTGTGGAGGGGGCTGGTAGGGACCAGAGGCCGCTGAAGGCGGCTGAGCACTGTACGATGCTGGCGGGGGCTGTAAGTGAAGTTAGCATGAGTGACGGATACCCAACGATCGGATTGACGTACTGCATATGGCGCCATTTGCGGATGATGTGGGAGCGGAGCACTTGGAGGTCGGTTTCCGTTTGGCTGTTGCATAGGAGGCGGCTGGCCGTAGGGTCCTTGGTGATTCGATCCAGGTCGCACACCTGGAGGCGTGGGCGTCTCGCGATAGGGCGCACCAGGTCGTCCACGGCCGCGGCCTTGTTGAGCTTGAAGAGCCGACGTCCGGGCTTTCATGAGTGCGCTCTCGATGGGCTGGGTGACTTCCGGAGCAAAGACTGGACGCTTGTCCAAAGATCCGGGGACAGGTTCCTTCCATGTGCGCAACATCTCATCCATCTTGCGGCGTACTTGGCCGTCGACTGCGGCATACGCTTCCATGAACGTTTGGTATAGCTTGGCTCCGAAGAAAAGGGTGTACGGAGTTCCGACATTCTTGACGATCGAATCGAGGACGTAAAGGGCTGGCAGCTTCTTGTGTGCAGGGGCCTGGGGAATATGTCAGATGTTATATAGCGATGCAGATGGACGGTGGCTCGTCAATCGAGAGCAAGGGAGGCTCAACCTACCTTCAAGATGTGGTCCTGCAGCACTTCAGAGATGACCTGTGCATGTTCGGTCTGTTCTCTTGCAATCATCGTAAGATTGCTAATTTCGAAGCGCACGTTGGTAGTCAGGTCCTCAAGAGCCTGGCGGTAATCTTCCGCCACTTCGGCGGCGGAGGATTCGTATGACATTGTTGTGAAAGTCCCCTTGGGTTGCGAGATTTGATATTGTGTTTGGTCTGTCAAGAGCACGCGAGCAAAAGCGAGCAAAAATTGCAGAAAAGCGAAGGGGCGACAGGAAACACCTCAAGTCCTTGTCGGCCCTTCACCGTGAGCACTGGAAAGCACGAGTGAACCACCGTTATTTGAGAAGCACAGCACTGTCGTTCTGATGGGAAAAAGACGACGCTGGTAACCTAAACTGGGAGGGCCGAAGTGCAGTTTCCAACTCTTGCGTCCAGGCTTCCTCCTGCTCAATCCCCCACACCAAGCCAACCAGATCCAAGCAGATGGCGCGGTAACCTCTACAACATCATCCGACGGGAGCTATCGCATCCACTTGAAGTATGCAATGGTGTCTCTGTGTGATGTATGTGGACGTAGGGGAGTGTCGCGACGACGGCGCGGAGCGGGTGGCTTTGGCGGTTGGGCGATCACGAGGGTATCGTTGTGGCGATACTCTGTCAGGAAGTCAATCAATATGAAGGCGTTTTCGATGGATGTTCGCGTCGTCAGCGACCAAGGTCGTCTTTGCAAGGTGTTGTTGAAGGAAAGTTGATGGATTAGGCGGGACCTCGGACGTGATTGACGTGCTAAATGAGGCGTCAGAGTGCAACAATGCCAGCCAAAAACCGTACCTGCCCAAGCCCATGTCCTACCGAGCTCACGTGTTTTGGCAGTGCACGGTCCAGGAGCTGTGGCTGGAAGCAGGAACCAGGAGTCCCAGTTTTGGATTGGATGACAACCAACGAGTCAAACTACGCTTCAAGGTGGTTGCTATCTCTTATCTAATCGCTGGAATCAAGTCTCTTCTGGATGCAACAGCCCGGTACATATAGCACAGCTACTTTCAGGCCCTTGATGCAATGCCACTCAAATGCAGGAATGCTTGGGATGCGTATTTAAGGACGGAAACATTGCAACTCTGACTTTTTGGCGCCTGCTCCATGGGAAGGGTTTCTTTTCTACCTGATGGTTTTGGCTGATTGCACTTCGATAAAAGGTCACTTATCTTAGGTGGTCGCCTTAGGTAAGCAGGCGTCCCATCCCACCTACCTGACCTGCTGCACCGTCTGAGCGGCGGTGCATCCTTTTACCGGGTGCTCGGTCCAGCGTTCCCTTTGCAGGACACAGGACAGCTGTCTCGCTTCGGTTGAAGCTTTGTTCCGGGCGAAAAACAGCCAGTCGGGGCCGGGAATTCCCGCGGACCAGCAGACACACCTCTGGTTTTCTGCATTGCTGTGATAGCGCTTTTCCCGTGAAGCCCCCGATTGCATCACATTACATCCGCCTTGGACTTTTTGGTCCTTTTCTTCCCTTTTTGGCCCTTTCGTCACTGAAAGCGCCTTTTCCATTCTCCCACTTGGACCCTCTCCCCTCTACGGTTTCGATTTCCTCGAAAAGGTCCCCTCTCCTTTTTCCTCACCCCTCGTCGCTCCACGCTTCAATACACATCTTCGACAATGTTCAAGCTCGGACGTAGCCGTTTGGCTTCCGCCATCCCCTCGAGGCTCGCTGCCCCGGCCGCCAGATTCCCCGGTGTTGCTCAGCAACAAAGGAGAAACCTGAGCATCCACGAGTACCTCTCCGCCGACCTCCTGCGCCAGGTAAAACGTCCCGCGATTGCGCCCCCCTCTCCTCAAGCCAGGTTTTCAGGAGCTCCCTATCAACTAACATCTGTCGCATTCTCGATAGTATGGAGTCGGTGTTCCCAAGGGCTCCAATGCGAAGACCGCCGCCGAGGCCAAGGCCATTGCGAAGGAGATTGGTGGTGAGGACATGGTTATCAAGGCCCAGGTTCTCGCTGGTGGACGTGGAAAGGGTACTTTCGACAACGGCCTGAAGGGCGGTGTTCGCGTCATCTACTCGGCTCACGAGGCCGAGATGTTCGCTGAGCAGATGATCGGCCACAAGCTCATCACCAAGCAGACCGGTGCTGGCGGCCGCCTCTGCAGCTCCGTCTACATCTGCGAGCGCAAGTTCGCCCGTCGCGAGTTCTACCTCGCCATCCTGATGGACCGCGCCACCCAGGCCCCCGTTATCGTTTCCTCTTCCCAGGGCGGTATGGATATCGAGACTGTCGCGAAGGAGAACCCTGAGGCCATCATCACCACCAACATTGACATCAACAAGGGTGTCACCGATGAGATCGCCCGCGACATCGCAGTTAAGCTCGGTTTCTCCGAGCAGTGCATCGAGGATGCCAAGGACACCATCCAAAAGCTCTACAAGATCTTCGTCGAGAAGGACGCTACCCAGATCGAGATCAACCCCCTCTCCGAGACCTCTGACCACAAGGTTCTGTGCATGGACGCCAAGTTCGGCTTCGACGACAACGCCGACTACCGCCAGAAGGAGATCTTCACCTGGCGCGACACCACCCAGGAGGACGCCGACGAGGTCCGCGCCGCCCAGTCCGGCCTGAACTTCATCAAGCTCGACGGTGACATCGGCTGCCTCGTCAACGGTGCCGGCCTGGCCATGGCCACCATGGACATCATCAAGCTCAACAAGGGCGCCCCGGCCAACTTCCTCGACGTCGGTGGTGGTGCCACCCCCGCTGCCATCAAGGAGGCTTTCGAGCTCATCACCAGCGACCCCAAGGTCACTGCCATCTTCGTCAACATCTTCGGTGGTATCGTCCGCTGCGACCTGATCGCCCACGGTCTCATCAACACCGTTAAGGAGCTTAACCTCAAGATCCCCATCATTGCCCGTCTGCAGGGCACCAACATGGAGGCCGCCCACGAGATCATCAACAACTCCGGCATGAAGATCTTCTCCATCGACGACCTCCAGACTGCCGCCGAGAAGGCCGTACAGCTGTCCAAGGTTGTGAAGATGGGTAAGTTAATCCAGCCTTCGTGATGTGTCTGAAATGAATTGTGCTAACTGGGACTTTCAGCTCGTGATATTGACGTCGGCGTCGAGTTCACCCTTGGTATCTAACTCTAGCGTTGTGTTTAGACTGGCCTCGCCCTGTACATTAATTAACATAGCCCTAGGTTGATGGCGCTAGCACTGGGAGCCAAATTCAAACTGTGTTCAATGTCATCTCGAAGTCTCTCGTTGTTCAGTGTGATGGTGACCCTTCTTATTTCCGCTGTGCTGCGCATGTAGTCCTGTCCACGGATAGAGTGACCAGCCTAAATCGTGCCCCATCCTGAATGTGAAACATGCAATTCAACATACCAACAGGTTCTACAAAGGGCGAAGTTCCTCTTACTAATTCGGTGAACTAGATCTTGGTCAGTCGTCATCAAGGCGACCTGTAAGCACCTGGGACAAGTGACGGTGAGGAAACCTCGGGATGAAAATAAGCAGCTCATCATACACGTGTCTCATTCAAAGACAGGCACGTCAAAGTATGATTCAATTTCTGACCTTTTTGGCGCCACATGGTCGCGGCAATGGCCCAGGAGGCAGTGCTGGCGCTTCTAGACAGTGTTCGTGATTAAGCGAAGAGGGAGCGCGGCTGGCCGTGTAAATGGCCCTGGATTGCTTGTGTTAAGAAAAAGAAAATGGAAGCGCGGAAGACGGCAGCATACAAGAGATGTGGTGGAGTTTGACAGCTAAATTTGGGCATCGCGAAATGAGGTGCAACGCGAGCGGGCGCTTATTAGGCGACCTCGGTGGGCCATATGCAGAAAGAATCTGGACTCGGAGCCGACTTCATTGGAATTCTGTATGCATTTTATGGCGCTTGAGGCACGGTCAATTTGTCATTCTTCTTCCGTCGAGGGCATGCCCAATCCTGCGGTTTCATGGGATGAAGGTGCGTCGTGATCATTGCGCAGGCCATGAGGCATCGTATATGTGACGAGCTAGAGTCGGGAGCTTGGGCCGACCACTCAGCTTGCCAAGAAGAAGAACGGAACCGAAATCATGAAGGAATCGAGGGTATTCGATTAGCATTCGAGTGGTTGACATCATCGCGGGGATGCCTCGGCTTACTGCAGTGCCTGGGGCAAGCCGCCAGACTCATGAAGCAATAATGACTGAGGTGTAGACGAAATATATTCGAAATATATTCAGCACAGGGCTACCTTCAGCCACACATACTTTGCTGTCATGACCAAATGATTGATTGTGAATCGAGCAACCATCCGAATATGTCTGCACACACAAACCTCGTGAGGCGGATGCTCCATGTAAGCCATCATCAGCTTGGTGGAGTGGCTTAGAGGCTGTCGGTATTGTAGTGGGGATTCCGTATCGTATCGCTCGGAGGTGGTTGCCAACCGGTGCTGTTAAGGTTCATCGCACTCGGGACAGCCAACACAACAGCGTCTGTTCTCAGTTGGCTCAGCTGCAGCACGGCAGGGGCTGCTTTGCCGCTCGCACTTCAATGCCCTCTCGACTGGCAGCCTATCGGCAGTTCTGGCGCCTGCAGGGGTCGCCCAGCGGGTCTTTGTGCCTGACATTCGGCCGGCGGCTGTCTCTGCTAAACTCGCATGAAACAAAGTCTGGTCGCCCGTCATCCAATCAATCCGTCTTCGACGCCAACAACTGAGAACATACCATGTTCCTTCAACCCATTGCCATGCACTAGTTCTATCTGTTTGCAACTTCTCAACTGCAGCCCACCCCTATTCACGTTACTTCTGCTATCTCTGTATCCATGTCTACACCGTTGGCCTCGCTCTCAGGCCCTGTCTTTTTGCCTCCCTCTGGCCTGGTCTATCGCCTCATCCCACCTCGAAGCGCCCCTTCATATGTTCGCTTGCTATTCTTTACAGGCCCCGCCAGCCGTCTGTGACTGGTCCATGATGGCAACGATGGTGGCCAGTGACTTTCAATGCACGATTGGATGAAAGCGGCCCACGCCACTCATGCCACACCCATCGTCTCTGCTTCCCGGGGCCCTGCTTCGTCTCGTCTTCGCTCTTGATCAGCCCGGGGGATCTTCAACAAAGCTGAACGTTCACAGGCCATCAGCAGCTCCGGCTCGAGTATGGGCTCACGCACATGCT